GTACGTTATCGAAATCATTGATAATTTAAGAAGGTGATCAGTAGTTCAGCGGAATCTGACGCGTCTCTTGGGTAACGGTGTAGGTGAGCTGAAATCGGATTCTGATGGGCGGTATGATGACGACGAAAATCGAGATGCCCCAGATTCGGATGACTCCGGTGAAGTTAATGTAATAAGCGTTGTGTTATTGTCATCGTCGTTGTTCTGCTCACTGTCGTTGAGCTTATCGTCGGGAAGGAGGTGTGGAGCGTCGCGACGAACAAAAACGTGTGAACATGTCGATAGTTCTTTAAAAATGAATGTTTTCCTCTGACCATGTCGGACGGTAGGTTGAGGTGCGAGGTCTGCGAAGTAGTTTCTCAAGCGTTCTGCCATATTGGATGGTGGCAAACCAGATCGTGGCGAAGGAGCGAGGAATTCACATGGTAGACGAACTGGCTCTCCATAAACAAGATCGGCAGGAGTTGCGCCAAGATCTTCCTTCGCATCCTTCAAATGACGGTGAAGACGTTCCACCATTCCATTCGACTGTGGATGGAAAGTGGTGGTGTGTATGTGTTTACTGCCGAGGAGACGAGCGAGAGCGTTAAAAAGTTGACTCTCAAACTGTGTACCCTGGTCGGTCGTGATTCGTAACGGTACTCCGTAGCGGCATATCCATCCGGCGAAGAGTGTGCGTGCGACACATTCGGCCCCGATATTATCAATAGGAAATGCCTCTGGAAACCTGGTGAAACGGTCAATGATTGTCAAACAGTTACGATATCCTTTTGATGGTCCGTATGGTCCAATGATGTCCACGTGAATATGTTCGAAACGTCTTGTGCGGCATGGAAAGTTTTGGATTGGTGATAAAACGTGGCGTAATACCTTATTTCGTTGGCAAGCTAGGCACGTTCGGGCCCACAAACGGCAATCGCGGTTAATGCTGGCCCAACGTATCGTTGCGTTAACAATTTGGCGGAGGCTCGTGCTCCGGGATGACTAATGCTATGGAGAGCGTCGAATATTCTCTTCCTAAGCGCTGCAGGAACGTAGGGACGAATAAGGTCACTAGAAACGTCGCAATAAATTGGTTTATTGCAGCCTGGAATGTTGACTAGTCGTAAGTTCAGTGAATCGTGCTGTTCCCTTCGTATACGTTGCTGAAGTTCCTCGTCTTCAGCTTGTGCTTGAGAAAGTTCGTTTGAGGATACTGCCGTTGATATTTCTTCGATGCGGGAAAGACCATGCGACGATGTTGTCTTTGCCGGCTATATACTGGATATCGGTTGTAAACTGGCTGATGAAATCCAAGCGATGGAATTGCCAAGGTGTCGCTCGATCAGGGTTCTGAGCAAAAGCATGTAGCAAAGGTTTGTGATCCGTGAATATTGTGACATGTCGTGCTTCGAAAATATAGCGAAATTTTCGTAAAGCTGCGTAGATAGCGTGAAGCTCACGGTCGTATGGACAGTGCCCAGTGTTGTCCACGTCTTTGTTGAAGAATGGCGCCGATAGCATACTCGGAGGCATCAGTAAATATTGCCCAAGGTAGCGTTGTGTCTGGGTATGCTAATATCGTTGCTTTGCGTAGCTCTTCTCATTCGGACGAACGCTGCTTCTCCTTCTGGTGTTCAGGGGACCGGATGAGAACCTTTTATTGAAACCCATTGAGTGTACTCGTGGAGGGGTGCCTGAAACTTGGCAGCGTGTTTAAGAAATTTACGATAGAATTTTATCATGCCGAGGAACTCACGCAGTTTTCGGATCGTTGTTGGACGAGGAAAGTTAACGATTGCGTCTACTTTACCTAAGAGGTAAGATTACTGATGCGGTGTCCCAAAAAATTCACTTCAGACAGACCAAAACGGCACTTAGCGATGTTAATTACGACACCATACTTAGTGAGCCGTTGGAAAAGCGAGCGAAGGTGACTGCGGTGTTCCGTAACATCCTTAGAAGCGATTAGGATGTCGTCTATGTATGGGAATACAAAGTCATCTAGTTCCCGTGTTACTTCGTCGATAAATCGTTGGAATGTTTGCGCAGCATTCCGAAGTCCGAACGTCATGAACGGAAATCCGAAAAGACCAAACGGTGTTATAATTGCAGTTTTGTCGACATCTTCTTTGGTGACAGGTATTTGATTAAAAGCGCGCACGAGATCAATGGTTGAAAATATTGTTTTGCCGGTTAGATTGGCAGTAAAGTCTTCAAGAACACGAACAGGATATCGGTCTGGCAATGTACGGGCGTTAAGTCGTCGATAATCTCCACAAGGTCGCCATTTATCAGACTTCTTTGGAACCAGGTGGAGCGGAGATGACCAGGAGCTCTTCTTATTCCTAATTGTAACATTTTTTCGAACTCTGTCTTAGCAATTTTGAGTTTGTCGGGAACAAGTCTTCGGGCCTTACAGGAAACAGGAGGTCTCGGCGTAGTAGATATGTGGTGCTGCGTCGTATGTTTCGTTGGCTGACAGATTCCTTCCGGCTTTGTCAGGTTAGGGAACTCCACTAGAGCATCTGCCCATATAGGGTCGACGGGCAGTACTTTAATTTCCGAAATGATGTTGGATGCTGATAATTTACATGCGACTTTTAGTCCAGTGATCGAGTCGATAAGGCAGTTGTTCTTCAGGTCGGGTAAGATGCCGAAACGTGCTAAAAAATCTGCGCCAATAATAAGTTTCGTTATGTCCCCCACTACGAAGCGCCATGTAAAATTTCGTCTGAGACCAAGGTTTAGTGATAGAGTTATGAAACCGTACGTGTTTATCGTAGACCCATTTGCTGCTGTGAGATTATAGTTGATTTGTTCCGGCGACCAAGGTGCGAGAGACTTGGGAAACGTACAGAGATCAGCGCCAGTATCCACTAGAAATTGGATTTTGGTGGCACGATCTGTTACGAAGAGGCGGTTTGATTCGAGTGAGGAGCCGTTAACCGCCACTAACGGTCCGACGGTAGGTTTCCCTGAAATGTGCAAGGCGACCGGCAACGTTTCGCTTTATTGCCGAAATTTTGATGATACCAGCACGTGTCGTTGTTCGGTGCTGGAGAAGATGTGCGCGAACGAAAGCGATGACGAGAACGGGAACGAGATATGACTTGTCTCTTAAAACTGGAAGCTAGCTCATTAATTGAAGCTTCGAGACGAGAAATGCGTGATTCGACTGCTGATGTTGCTGCTGGTTCTTGAACCGAATTGATTTGTGCTGCTGGTAATGCGATATCGTGTATTTTGTCTGCAAGAGATGCGAGTTTATCGATATTCATGCCTGCTTGGGACGCAAGTATAGATTGAGTTGTCATCGAAAGTCTGCTGAGCCACTTAGTTCGTAGAATATTGTCAGGAACAGTGTTGTCAAGGCTTCTGAGATGTCGGAGAAATTGCGATGGTTTTCTATCACCCAAAGTCTCTCGATCGAGAAGCTGCTGTAGTCGTGCTTCTCGAGAGAGCGTAAGGCGTTCGACCAGCGTCCCTTTTAAGCGACTGTAAGGCGTTTCTGTGGAAACATTCAAAAGAAGATCTTCCACTTCTGCGGCGGCCCTGGCGTCAAGATGTGAAGAAGCATAGTGGTATTGCGTAATTTCATCGGAAATTCCGGCGAGATGAAATTGTCCCTCAAGTTGGGCGAACCACAAGGCTGGTCGTTCGGAATTGAATAACGGACACCGTATAGAAACGCGTTGGAGCGGCGTTATACTGTCGGCCACTTGCACGTCCAGGCTATCTGGCATAGCGATTTTTGCTGAAGAAAATGAAATGATTGGAACGTTTTATGCGCTGCGCTCAAAGCTGTGAAGATTAGGAATGCGCGAAAACTCCAGCTGTCCTCCAATCGGTCGTATACGTTGGCAGCCTCGTGCGCGATTATGCACAAAAACCAATACACAAGGTGCACTATAATCGCAAATTTATGCACAAGTGTTGAAACTTGTAAACGAAATGCACTGTAGACGAATTAGTTAGCGAATTTTAAAATTATATTTACAAAATCGCGGAAAAACTATTAAATCACGTCGGGGTCACCAGTTGTGGTGATTGATGTGCAGGAACGATGCGCACGCGGTGGCTGCCAGCAGGAGAAGAGGCCGTTAACCGTGTTGTATAGTCTTTTATAATAACAGCAGGCGTCCTCGAGCCTAACTATTTGACTATGTATTCGCTGTTCCGTTTTGTGTCGTATTCGTTTCAGCGTTCCTTGTAAGCCAGGATCAGCTGACTTGCTGACATGGTGTTGCCATGTTATATTGTCGTATATAATATTATATTGTGGCTCATCCCACATTTTTTTTTGCATAATCTTTATCAAGCCTTATTTGTGCAGAAAAAATCCTATTTTATCAATTTTTATTATAAAAATCGTTTATATGATAAAAAATAATCATGCATATGTGAAGTGGCATTTGTATTTTGAATCATGCCTCATTTGTGCAAATATAATCATATTTTATCAATTTTTATCATAAAAATTGGTTATATGACAAAAATAATCATGCATATGTGAAGTGGCATTTGTATTTTTTGTTTTCTCATTCATTTCATTTCATTTTTCTCTTTATGTTGGGAGATACGCATTTTGCAGAGAACATTGTTATAAATTCTCATTTCTGTTAAATAACAGCAAATACTACAGAAAATGGTGAACGGCCTGATCTCAATTTTTCAACTCAATTATCCGTCCAATCGACCATCAAATAAAATTCAATTTGCACCATCTCGTTCTTCTCACTTTCGACCCTCTCCCTATGGTCCGAACCCGTCGAAACGCTCGTTTACTGGGCTTACCTTTAAGTGATCTCGATGACACCTAACTTATTGCTTTTCCTCAACCAACGTCTAAATAATCGCTACAACAACAAATTGTAAATTTATTCATAATCTTAAGTTCGTCTATATCAGAGCCAGCAAGGACTAAGTTGACAGATTGTTGATTATTCTACTTGCGGTAGTACCGTTATTTAGAATGATGTTGTTGTAACGAAGATATATACACATGTGATGTTCGCATATGATTCGGCCTTTTATGGTAAACATGTAATAGAAATATAGTATAATTAGATACACTTGTACTTGTAGTGTCTTATAATTTTTAATACGCTATGTTGTTAACAACCCATAAATAGCAGAATATACACCGTAACCAGCTTATAAGCCACAACATCAATACGTTATCGAAAAATGACATATGCATATATATCTGACACATTGGAAATTGTTTGAAAACTTTCTGAATTGTCGATATAGCAAAATAATAATAATCTAGTGGCATTTTGCTCAGCGAAAGTAATATAATATTTTACAGGCAATATGGTAATTACTAATGATATCACTTTGCCCACTGATGAAGAGTTAACTGTGCAAGAGTTAAATTTATCTACTTCAGCCCTTCGAGCTGGTGCATTTCATTTAGGCAAACATTGTGAAAATAAGAATAATGTAAGTGTCAAAGTAATTAATTATAAACTAATGGTAAGCTTTATCTGATTGTTGTTTAAATTAATAAGTTTTTGAATTATAGTTCACTACCATTTAGTTATATAATTTATACGAAGAGCTCTAACCTCAACGTGTTGTATCGGAACATGTTTTGTATCCAGATGATAACAAACAAAATTTATTACAGGAATTTATGCTATGTCGACAAGAGTTAGACGACCCCCGGGCATGTATCAATGAAGGAAAAGCAGTAACTAGCTGCGCTTTGGACTTTTTCCGGAAAGTAAAAAAGACTTGTCATGAAGAGTTTCTTCAATATGCAACTTGTTTAGACAAAAGCAGCGGTAATATGGCTTTTGGACAGTAAGTGTTATGATTCTAATTGATATTATTTATTGTTATGGTTTTTATATTTTACGTTTTTGTTGCAGTTGCCGAAAAACACAAGGTGTTTTTGATAAATGCGTATCCGATAATTTAGGTATTGATCGTCCTGAGTATGGTTACTTTACCCGAGCAAAGGTAAGCCGTTTATTTGCATAAAATAAAAGGTATTAATACCGATCTGTTATATTTTAAGATTCACACCACTGAACGTGAAGCTCCTGCTAAACCTATAAAGAAGGAATATCCTGATGCTACACCTGGTCTGCCAGATGATTACCCAAAGCCTCCGGCCAAATATGGATCACGTTTCCATTGGCTCGAATAAACTATAATCACTGCGTCAGTCCTTAATAAAATTACAGTGTGTAAATAGTGAATTCTCAGTTTAATGCATATTTGATTGTTAATCAAAATTCATGCGAATATGACATATATGGGAAAAATAGAAATCAATAATTAATTAACAGTCACAATTCCTTTTATTACTCTATAACTACTTTAATTATATTTTATCGTTTTCTAGATAAACAATTCTTTATTGTATCTAACACCGCCATATATTGGCTAAATAAACAGCATGAACAATATGTCAATGGCAGTCGGCCACTGCCTTCAATGCGTCGAGTACGTTGTACATTTTCATAGAACATCCAATAGTTTGACTCCTCTCCCATGAACGCAAGTATTTTATCGTAGCGGAATCCATCAACGTAAAACAATTTTGGATCACCTGTAAAAATCCGCCACTCTGTATATCGAAGTTTTGAACCTTGTGGTAATTTCAACCTTTCTCGAGCCATCATAAGATCAAACTATAAGTAAATTATTAGTTCATAGAGAATTTGTCCTTTGCTACTTTACATACCCAATCTCGTGCTCCTATTAGCGAGGCACTAGGTGAATGCTTTTTATTTGTGTAACTGATACGTGGTTGATTCGGGTGACTGTACTGGTAATGAAATGATATAATTTTAACTATTATGTGTTGAATTACCTTTGATTGACTTATATATGAGATTCATATGACATACGGAGTACAACAAATTTATAGTATACTCTAGGTGCCATTTTTTGCAATATTAAATGTTGAGCAAAGAATTTTTAAGATTGTCGGTCTATAATGTGCTTGTGAGAATGGCTCTAAATCTCTGTGAACTGTAGCTTTTAAATAAAAGAAGCAGGTAGTTATACTTACGTGCATACCTGTCTTAAAATATGACCCTTTTATAGTCGTGCTCCTAAAGTTTCAAGGTCGAAAAACAAGTGTTATAAAAAATTTAATTTTATTTAACAAAGTAAGGATATATTTTTGTACATATATAAACATACATACATATTACACCGCTCAACGCCTACATACTATTCTGAATACCATTTCGTCCTTTTTGGTACGTCTTGTTGAGTTTTCTCTTGATATTCTCTGATACTTCCCACATTAGCTTGACTGTCTATCATTCGTTTATATTTTTTCACCAGATATTCTAAATCGTCGTGCTCTTCTTTTTTTCCTTGTTTTGGTTTTTGAACCTCGTTTCGCTCAGCCAAATGAATTTGGCGAATTTTTTTTGCTTTCTCTTTACGTTTATTTGTTATTAGATTTTTTCGATGATCCTGTGCCTGTTCAGCAATTTTTTTAATTGATCGTAAACGAATGTTAGAACCAGGCTTTGCTGCTGTACCAACGAAATCGTTGAACGCATCTATTTCATTATCTTTCACATTAATTTGAGGTGTAGAACGCGAGTCTTCTAGTTTTTTTATATGTTTCTTTAGTTTCGCCTTATCGTCAGTCTGAGGTTCTTTGATATTTTGATTTATTTTTCCTTGTCTTTTCAGGTTTCGCATTTCTTTTTGTTTTTCTAATTTTTCTTTGAAAGTTGGATTGTTAAGTTTGGATTTTTCTTTGCGTTTCTCCTTTATTTTTTCTACTGTTCTATCTTCAATACTGAAAGCTACAATCGGGCGCTATAAAAGAATATATAAACGAAATTTCAAATTTAAATGATTTTATGCAAAAAAAAAAAATGAAGGTGTAATACTCACATGTTGAGTTCCAAATATTGATGGATTGTTGTTAAGCTTTCTCAATGCTGCTAATGCTTCTTGATGAGTGCTGAAAGACATAAATCCAAAGCCCTTTGATTTCCCTTTTGCATGTTCCGGTGTAATTTTATTTTCTCGCATTACTCTGCATTCATGCGGTCTGAATCCCGTACAAGTCATAATCATTTTCTTGAGTTTTTCGTTATCAAAATTAAGAGGCAAATTGTGAATAGAAAGGCGATTTCTTGAAACAAATCTGTAAAAAAATTTAATGTAGATTTCAATATGCTTTTAGGACTGTTTACGCTTACCGGTTAAGATTTTTTAACACTTGAGTTTTTATTTGCTCCAGTTTGTGTCGCTTAGTCATGTCGGATGCAGATACTCCTTCAGCAGACTTGCTATTAGCCATAATTAGTCCTTCTCTGGCTAAATATAAGTTACGCGAGTCCTTTGCGACTTCTTTATTTGATTTAGATTTTTCTTGGTTTTGAATTTCATTCTTGCTTAACGCTGGATATATTTCAAGGAGTTGGTGCATCAGATAGAGTTCACCACCGGATTGTAAACAAAGATCAGCGGATTCTTTATTCTTAAACTTAACAAAGGCTGTACCCTTTGAGTGACCCGATATCGTTTCTCGGTTAATAATTGCATAATAAAGAGGACCGAATTTGCGAAATACTTTACGTACTTCAGAATCCTCTGCATCGAAGTCAACATTTTTTACGAATATCGTACAACCATTTTGCACATCATTCGATATGTGCTTTTCTTTGTCCACCTGTTTAATTTTCAATTTTGATTTTGACTTTCCATCCGAATCCGAATTATCGTCTGCTGTTCTGTGCTCATCATCCTCGTTGTCACTTTCCTGTACGTCATCAACCAGCTTGTTTTCTTCAGCATTTTCGGACTTATTTTGAATATACATGCAATAAAACATCAGCCGAATACATTTATACATAAAATTCTAATACGACATAAAAATACCTCATTAGAAGAGACTAGTGATTTTTCTTCATTTTCTTCCTTTCGTTCTATTTTAGGTTTCTTTTCTTCTGGATCTCCAAAATTTTGAACATTCTTTTTATTAGTATATTCATTTTTACCCAAAGCCCAATCGATATACAGGGGTCGTCCAAGGAATTTCGTATTATTGCCTTTTAAAATAGCTTTGGAAGCTTGGTTTACGCCACTGTACTGTACAAATGCACAACCTACTAACTTCCCATCCGAGCGCTTTAGAAGATTAAGTTCCTCAACATTACCCCACTGACTAAAATATTTAAACAAGGCATCTTCTTTTACTTTATAACTTATATTTCTTGCAATGACTCGAGCTTTCTTCTTCTGTCGGCGTTCCTTATCTTCTTTACGTATTTGTGTATTGAATGGATTTCGACGTTTTCTATTTGTTTCTTCTTTATCGGCGGAACTGTTCTCATTTTGAAATGAATTAGTTAACTCCATAACTCATTAGAAATATAGCGAATATTTACTTCGAATTATTTTAACAACTGCTGATAAAAACAAAACATTTGACAGTAAATAACAAGTGTACTGACGCACGTGGGCTGATTATACAGCATGTAGCGCCATCTGTGTTATTTGTGCCATAACACCCCTACAAAAACAGTGACGGTCAGCTGTGTGAGTTTGCATCTCTCTTTAACACATGGGTATTCGGAATTGATTCACTATATATCTATACTGCTCACTCTCATGTCTTTTTCTGAGTCATTGCTGACCATAAATCCATCATAGCTGATTGTCAGTGATGACTGAAACGCTATTATAGCTGCAATTTGTCAGTCATGACTGTAAATATATCACAAGTGAAAAATTCTTTTGCGCGGTAGATAATGTAATTTTTATTTCGCGTCCGATTTAGTATACCACGATTTAAGGGTTAAAATGGGTATGGTTGGATTGAGGATTATCAGATGGTTGTACACCATGATTGTAAGACCGATCATAACATATGGAGCGGTGGCCTGGGGTTCCAAAGCATTGCAGACCTCGGTAGGACTTCGACTATCGAGACTGCAACGACTTGCCTGTATCTGCGCGTCGGGCGCGATGCGTACGTGTCCGATTGCAGCACTGAAAGTAATGCTGGAGCTAACACCGTTACATATAGTGATCGAGCAGACGGCCAAACAGACCCTGCTTTAAATGTCAGCAGAAGGGTTTGGCAAAGGGAAGGTAATCTCGTCCCAGCAGATGAAGGCCCTTAGTAACGCAATGCCACTGACCCTTCTTCCAAGGCAGTAAGGCTGAATAGAACGATTCCACGCTGGACCTACTGCTAAGGCACAGCACTATCAAGTGGTACACCGACGGCTCGAAAACGGCGGAGGGGATTGGTGCAGGGGTCGCAGGATCACGCACCAGGCTCTACATTCCCTTGGGAAGTTTTCCTAGCATATTCCAGGCGGAAGTATATGCTATAAGTCGGTGTGTAGAGATAAACCTCCAACGCGACTATCGCAATAAGAGCATCGCCATACTCAGCGATAGTCAGGCAGCACTTAAAGCGATCTCGGCTTTTGAGGTCAAATCGCTACTAGTGCAGGAGTGTATAGAACGGCTGAACAGCCTATCAAGTCTCAATAGAGTGCATCTCATCTGGGTGCCTGGTCACAGGGGTATAGCAGGAAATGAACTTGCTGACGAGTTGGCCCGCTCTGCAGCCTCTACAAACATGGTAGGACCAGAACCGTGCGTAGCGGTTGGTCCACATACCATTAAAGAGCTGCTCCGTAAAGAGGAAAGAGCAGGCAGGGAGAGACATAGGCAACATCTCTAAGCCATGCGCCATACCAGGTTGCTGATGGGGGGTTATAACCTCAGAGTTGGCAGTCGTACGAAAATTAACTAAATATATAGTTTTTTTTTAAACTTATTTAACTTACGAATGTATGTATATATATTTTGTAAATGAAAAATGTATATTTTTGACACCAAACCCAAAAGAAGCGTAACACACTTTTCGTTTGACGCAAGTAGAACACTAAAAATTGGTTTGCGCAGTTGTTGAGTAAAGTATTCAGCAATATCATTCTCACACATGTAAGCAATATGATTCGAAGATCTCTCTCTTTAACAATAACAGTGACGGTCAGTTGACAAGTAAACTGTCCGTCAGTACTGACATAATAAATGTGAGTGTATTGGTCAACCCATCAGCAGTTTCTTGTAGGGATAGCTTAACTAGACGCTAGCTTTAACTGACAGAACCATTTTCATCCATTTGTGGTTAACTTACCCACAGATAGTTTGATTATTGTGAATGTGTGGCGAAAACAGCTCACAAAACTTGCATTGTGAACACACAAAGCTGTGTAAACGTCATCTGCCATGTATGTGCATGTTCAGACGAGAACTCTTTTTGACGCCCAAATCTGTTTTCGTAGGTGAAGGGACGACGAAAAGAGACAAAGAGACCATGTTCGGGTTTTCTTTTCCGTAACAGCTTGCTGCTACGCAGTTCGGCATTCCTTTTCATTTTTAAATTCCTCTCATGTTTGCAAAGCGTTCGGTTTCAAAGCATACATGAAACCATTTCTCAACATGTTGCTGATAAAGTTCTGAATAAGTGCTTAACCATAACTTTACAAAACAGCCCTTAATATAATTTTTAGTTTTTTTAACTGTTGTTTAAGTCTTTTCAAATTCTTAAACTAGCAAATTTGAAAAATAACTACAATAAACTGACTAAATGCCGGTTCACACATGAAGGCTTTTGTCGCCCAAACCGGTTTTTAATGGGAAGAGGACGACGAGGAAAGACATAAGGACCCTGTTGCTCGTGCTCGGATGACTCGCTTTGTACGCAATTCCTTTTAATTTTGAAACTCAAGTAATATTTTTGTAATTGATTAAAAGATCTTAATGTAGATGTATTTATGAAGATACAATATAATATATGTACTCGTATGTATAAAAATATAATTATATGTGTACATATGGATGTATATTCTTACATGCAAGTGGCCTAGCACGTTGCCTAAAATTCTGAATTAATAACAAATCTTCAAATTAATGAATTTTTTATAGTTTTATCAATATTGTAATAAGCAAAGAAAACTTTCTGCTTCTAATTTCATTCATTTTATATATCATAAATCGGAATTTACAAAAATGCTTTGCTGTTTTAATAACATTATTAATTAAATAACTAGAAAATTGCATTCAAATATGGGTTTATTACTGATTCAGAAATTTAGACAACGTGCTAGCGTTTTTCTATGAAACTTGCATTTGATACAAGTACATATGTATGTATATACATACGAATATGTACATAGTTATATTTTCCATATGAAGATTTGAACGAACCTTTTGAGGATATTTTTGTCTATGTCCAATAATTTCATTTAAGGATATCATAAGAATCTCTTCCAGTCCATTTAAAATAAATTGTGTTAAGTTCATATTTTCTACAAAATTCAAACTTTAATTGTTCTTTTTACTTTAAGGATGACATTCTATATATTCATTACAAGCTTCTTTAATGATATTTACTATACTAATTGAGATTTTACTGTTAATTGTATAAAAGGAATAAACCCAGTCCCGTATCTTTTCTGTAAATAATTTAAAAAAATTCCAATTATAAGCAGACTTGTAGCATATTGAAGTCTTGATTATGGAAATGTTTTTGGAATATAATTATAGCCAACTATTGCATTTTTATTATATTATATAAAAATTTCTTTCTACATGATTCCCTTTAAATAGAATACATATATAATAATAATACTTTTAAATGAAATTTTACTAATTAATAACATTATATTTTATATATCTGTATACATATTTATAAGATGTCAATATTGTATCTGGCTTTTGAGTTGGCTAAAATTCTGAAGTTCGGATTCACCACGTAATATGTCAAAATTTTACTTTCACTTTCTAAATTAATTTTACTTTCTAAGTTAATTTATTACATTTATATTAAAATATGACAATTTGTGTGTCATTAATGTTTAGAATGTTTTTCATTTTTAAAAGAAACACATGCAAAAATTCCAAATTTTTAGTACGTTGTTGCTTATCAAGCATCAACAAATTGAGACAATAATCAAATAATTACACGCCTTAATAAATAAGAACGCGTTTCATACCATATTTTTGATTAAGACAGAGATGTTTGCAGCCATCAGCCCGCGATTTAGTGTGGTCAATTTCGATTATGACATTTTGATTGTCATCGCGTAAAATCTGCCTTGTTCCGTTTGCCTTTTGGTAAAAGAAAATAATATATTTACAGGAAGTTAATAATGTTTTGTGCATATACACATTTGGGAAGCCTGGGGCGAAAGCCCACACATAATCGCTACATTGCAAGGACAAGAGCGGCTGGTGAAAGAAAAACGGTTGAAGCAAGGTAACCTACACGACAGCTCAATATTTTTTATATAGTTACATAGTTTACGCGAATTGAAAGTGTTTATAACGTAAATAATATTTAGAAACATGATTAAAAAGCACAACTATTTTACCGTAAGATAAAAAAGCATGTCTGTGAAATAACCCATTACTGCGAATTTTAATTTGTTTATAGGCGTTTATGTTAACACTATATCAAATGTAAAGAAATATTTTACCATAACAATGAATATATTTTATTATAGACCTTACCAATTTGATTTGATGAGAGATTTATCACAGCTTGTAAACAAGTCTCCCCGTAATATAAGACGAATAATAGAACACAACGCCTGCTCCCGAGCATTCTTTAACCCACAGCGGATAAACGATGTACTATCCAGAACGAAAACCACTATTACCTCAAAGGGTATTTGTGTAAGTGTGGATGTCAGCTTACCTATGCGAAAGCGTGCCAAACACTTGATTGATATCACTTTTAGTGCATCTAGACAGATGAATTCAAAGTTACTTGTCCCGTTAGTTGGCCAACAAATGTATGAAGAATTTACTGCATATTCAGGAAAAAAACGTTAAAAAAATTTTGTAATTTTAGCGGTTTTGCTCGCCACTTCAAAACGGATCGCTCTATTGACGCAGAGATGAAAAGGAATCCTACAATTTTTTCTAGGTTAAAGACAGCTTTCGGAGGAAATCCACAAAAAATTGATGCGGAATTGTCTCAAGTACAAGCGGAAACATTAAAAAAGTTGCTTCAAAAAAGTAGTGAACAAGGACAAAAGAAAAATGAAGTATGAAATAGTGTTTTTTGCCTATTTACTTTTTAATTAAATACATCTTCAGGTGGATAATATCAAAATAGCCTTTGCCGAAGGATATTTGGCTGCTACTAATTCCGATGAGTCACCTAAGTCGGGGAAAACTATGAAATACCTTAAAGTAAGTGCTTTAGGATTGATTCATGTAGAAAATTTAATTAAAATTTTAAAATATTTTTCAAAGGTTTTCCAACAACTGTTAGTAATAGTTGTCTTCATTGGGATATTTCTAAGTTTGTTTTCGTCCTCAAATGGTTCAATGTTTAGGTATGTTTTTTTTTTAAATTTATATACGTTTTTGTAATGCAAAATAAATGCTCTCATCAATTAATCTGATTTAATCTGCATCTCTATTTATAATATGAAAGTAGAATACAACTGGGTAACCAAGTAGAAGTAGATCCAGAAGAAATCCATGTGACATTTGATGACGTTAAGGGATGTGATGAAGCTAAACAAGAGTTAAAAGAAGTCGTGGAATTTCTTAAAAATCCTGAAAAGTTTTCCAATCTAGGGGGTAAATTGCCAAAAGGTGTTCTATTAGTTGGACCCCCTGGTACTGGAAAAACGCTACTTGCACGTGCTGTTGCTGGCGAGGCAAACGTTCCATTCTTCCATGCTGCTGGTCCTGAATTCGATGAAGTACTAGTTGGCCAGGGTGCAAGACGAGTACGCGATCTATTCAGTATGTATATTTTTATATT